TTTTTTGTTATAGCGGGCGAACGCCATGCCGGAGGACAACCGTTCTTTCACCAAATTGTAGGTATTGAAATTCTTTATTATTTTCATATATAATTTGTTGGTTTATCCTCGGGAAACCTACAAAAATGCCCTTTTTGTATTTTTTGCTCATCTAATTTTGTTGTTTTTTGCTATAGCGGGCGAACGCCATGCCGGAGGACAACCGTTCTTTCACCAAATTGTAGGTATTGAAATTCTTTATTATTTTCATATATAATTTGTTGGTTTATCCCTCGGGAAACCTACAAAATGCCCTTTTTGTATTTTTTGCTCATCTAATTTTGTTGTTTTTGCTATAGCGGGCGAACGCCATGCCGGAGGACAACCGTTCTTTCACCAAATTGTAGGTATTGAAATTCTTTATTATTTTCATATATAATTTGTTGGTTTATCCCTCGGGAAACCTACAAAAATGCCCTTTTTGTATTTTTTGCTCATCTAATTTTGTTGTTTTTTGCTATAGCGGGCGAACGCCATGCCGGAGGACAACCGTTCTTTCACCAAATTGTAGGTATTGAAATTCTTTATTATTTTCATATATAATTTGTTGGTTTATCCTCGGGAAACCTGCCCTTTTTGTATTTTTGCTCAAATTTTGTTGTTTTTTTGCTATAGCGGGCGAACGCCATGCCGGAGGACAACCGTTTTTCACCAAATTGTAGGTATTGAAATTCTTTATTATTTTCATATATAATTTGTTGGTTTATCCCTCGGGAAACCTACAAAATGCCCTTTTGTTTTTTTGCTCATCTAATTTTGTTGTTTTTGTTTTATAGCGGGCGAACGCCATGCCGGAGGACAACCGTTCTTTCACCAAATTGTAGGTATTGAAATTCTTTATTATTTTCATATATAATTTGTTGGTTTATCCTCGGGAAACCTACAAAAATGCCCTTTTGTATTTTTGCTCATCTAATTTTGTTGTTTTTGCTATAGCGGGCGAACGCCATGCCGGAGGACAACCGTTCTTTCACCAAATTGTAGGTATTGAAATTCTTTATTATTTTCATATATAATTTGTTGGTTTATCCCTCGGGAAACCTACAAAAATGCCCTTTTTGTATTTTTTGCTCATCTAATTTTGTTGTTTTTTTGCTATAGCGGGCGAACGCCATGCCGGAGGACAACCGTTCTTTCACCAAATTGTAGGTATTGAAATTCTTTATTATTTTCATATATAATTTGTTGGTTTATCTCTCGGGAAACCTTCGAAAATGCCCTTTTGTATTTTTGCTCATCTAATTTTGTTGTTTTTAGGCTATAGCGGGCGAACGCCATGCCGGAGGACAACCGTTCTTTCACCAAATTGTAGGTATTGAAATTCTTTATTATTTTCATATATAATTTGTTGGTTTATCCCTCGGGAAACCTACAAAAATGCCCTTTTTGTTTTTTTCTCAGCTAATTTTGTTGTTTTTTTTGCTATAGCGGGCGAACGCCATGCCGGAGGACAACCGTTCTTTCACCAAATTGTAGGTATTGAAATTCTTTATTATTTTCATATATAATTTGTTGGTTTTTCCCTCGGGAAACCTACAAAATGCCCTTTTGTATTTTTTGCTCATCTAATTTTGTTGTTTTTGCTTTCATAGCGGGCGAACGCCATGCCGGAGGACAACCGTTCTTTCACCAAATTGTAGGTATTGAAATTCTTTATTATTTTCATATATAATTTGTTGGTTTATCCCTCGGGAAACCTACAAAAATGCCCTTTTTGTATTTTTTGCTCATCTAATTTTGTTGTTTTTAGGCTATAGCGGGCGAACGCCATGCCGGAGGACAACCGTTCTTTCACCAAATTGTAGGTATTGAAATTCTTTATTATTTTCATATATAATTTGTTGGTTTATCCCTCGGGAAAC